AAAAAAAAAAAAGGGAACTAGATGAATTCAGAGATTCCTGCTTCTATAAATACTAGAGCGCATATAAAATAGACCGTGTCTGGAGTTCCTCCGTCCCGGTGGAGGCCTCAACCCCGCCGGAGTTCATGCAAGGTCTGAAGCTCGCTCGCAAGGGCGGGCAGCTTCCCTCGCCTCTCCTCATCGGAGCAAGACACCCGCGTCTCACCTGCAATTCAACAATGAAAACAAAGAACACAAACCCCCTAGTTTCTAGAATTACCAAACCAGGCTAGCCCCAGCCCCCCGCCCGCCCCCCACGCTCTGCAACCTTGCTACATAAATACACAGATGTTTTCAGCACAGCAGCCGGACCTGCGAGCCTGCCCCGGGTTTAGGTGTCGGAGGCAGCGGCAGCCGCCACGGCCTTGGGAGCTGTGGCCAGGTGGGGGCTGCCCAGCGCCCCGTTCCAGTGGACTCGGCCGTTCTGGCGCTCCTCGGGGACGTCGGCCTGGCGGTCACCGTTCCAGCGGCGCTTGAGACGCAGCTTGGGAGGCATCAGGGCATCCTCTCTCTTCTCCTGAGCCCCTGGTTCTCCGGTGGGTTCTCGGGATGACTTTTCCCCGCTGCTCTCCCCTTGCTCCTGGGATTCTTCGGCCGAGAAGCCGGCCTGGGTGGGTGCTGGCGGGGCTGGGTGCCACGACGGGGCAGCTGGCCTGGCAAACACAGGCCCTCTCTCCTCTTCCAGGCCGGAGCCTTCCTCTCGCTCACTTTTCTCTTTTCCTTTCGCCGGTGGCTCTTCGGCCTCTGCCTCCTTGTCCATCGCGGGCTCAACCTTGACCCTGGGAGGAGGAGTAGCGAGCTGGGGGGCCGCTGGCTCCTCAGCGCTTTCCAGTCTCTCTCTGTTTTTGCGGCCCACAGGGGGAGGCTGTAGCTTGATGGGGAACTGGGGCTGCTCCTCGAGGGGCATTTGGCACTGTAGTGGCGGCACCATGAGCGGATAGCGGGGGAAAGTCCGCGGACTCAGGTGGTAGTTGAAGACGGAGCAGGCTTGCGAATGCAGGTAGTGTTTCATTTCCTCGGGGTTAAAAGAGAAGCAGCTGCTACCTGTGAAGGGGCTGAGGCCCGGAGAGGGGCTGTAGGAGAAGAGGGTGGGAGTCAGGGACAACGCAGGAGAGATCGGGACGTTGAGGACCCCGCCGCGCCCCGGCAGAGGGGACACGGCAAAGGGGCTGTGAGGATCCGGGTAGATCCCGGGCCTGGTGAAGAGAGGGAGCATGATGTCGGGCTTGCGCTTCTGGTGGTTGACGCCGCCGGCGCCCACGGCGTTGCGCGAGGCCATGAGATCCACGCCACGGCGCCAATCCGAGGAGCCGTCCTCCAGCTCCGGCATGTCCGGCTTCCTCTCACCGCCGTCCCCCAGCCCTTCGGGGTTGGATGGCACCAGGGAGCCAGCGGAGAATCGACTGGGCTGGGCATCCTCGGTGGGAGAGTGGCTGTCCAGCGGCGGGAAGTGGAAGCGGGACGAAGCGGTTGGGACGGGAGGAGCGCTCTGAGGAACGACACCTGCGGCAGGGAGGGGGGAGAGGAGAAAGAGCACGGGGGAGAGTTAAGAGCGCAGTCGCCGAGGGAGTTAAATCACAGGTAAAGAGGGCTGCGCCTGCAGGCGTTTGGAAGAGTAACACAAAAATACCACGCGCTATCAACCAACGCAGCAGACGATTAGATGGGAGGGGCCTTTCCCATCTGCTCCCTTCCCCTGCACAGCTCCAGCCTCCTCTGCCCACCTCAAAACCTCGCCACTGCCGGGGATGAATCTTCTCCACTCTCCGCCCCGGCTGAGGTTTCGTGAACCTTCAGCGCCCACTGAAATAACTTCCACTTTCAGATGCCCTCCCCTGACCTCCTCGCTCTGGTTTAACCAGAAAACGTCTCGGCGACGGCGCACGAGGAGCAGGGTTGAGCAATCGTGCTCCAACGCCACCGGCAAAAGCGCTGCTGGTAAAAAAACCTCAAGCTCTCAGGGCTGACTGAAAGTCACTGATTTGTGCTTTTCTGGGAAAACGGTTTCTCTCCAACGCTCCTGCCAGCTCTCACTGGCTCCTCTTCCACCGCCGTGCCTACGGAGCCGCCTGTCTACGACTGACTCCTGCCATAACGAGCCATATTGAGGCAAATTCTTCCACCCGCTTTTTCACCTCCACAACACACCCGTTGCTTCCCCCCAGGCCCCCCCCCTTCCCTTCAAAACCTGCGCCAGCGAGAGCCCAGAGAAGAAACCTGATTCCAGTGCCCCAAACAGGTTTGATATCCCAACCCCCAGCCCAGCCAGAAGGAAAGAAAACAGGTTGTAATTAGACAAGTGCATTCCAGTTCTCCAAACTTCTTTTTTTAAATGCATGCCCCAGAGATAGGAGGGAGTGGCTGCAAACAGGGAAAAGGAACAGCAGTGAGCAATATTGAGCTGGAACTGCCCAGACTCGTTGCTGCAAGTAATTATAGATCTGCAGTGCAGCTTCATACTACATCTTACACCCCCATGCTTTGGCTAAGGACTCCCGGAGAATACATTTCCTTCTCCCCGCTGCCATAAAGGCAACGTGTCCCACACAGGTGAAGCAGAACGTCTTTCTGAATATTTCTGTCCTCCCAGCCCCGTTTCGGGGTTGCTGTTTGCTAAGAGGGACAATGCCTTGAAATCACATTTACGCTCCTGCCCGGCCGGGCTCCCCCCCCAGGGGTGGGGAGGGACTCAGGTCGCTTCAACTGCCAAGATCAACGAGCAGCCACCGCCGAACGTAGGCACAGGCTACGCGAGGAGCGATGAGAAATAATCTTGCCCACACGTAACCTGTTTTTCTGAGCCGCCGGGGTTTCAGAGTCAACATTCAATCCCCACTTTCCCCTGCTCTCTCCCTGCTAGACGGATCTTCAAGGCTTCCCCTGGGGCACTCGGCACGAGGTGAGAACTAAGAGCTGTGAGAAAGGCCGGTTCAGGCGCCTCCGTGCTCGCACTTTCTTTGCTGTGGAGAGTTCGCCGTCTAGGGCCTCGCTGTAATGACTTCCAGAAGGGTGGTTTGTGTTGTTTTTTTTATTTCTCCTTTTTTTTTTTTTTAATGGACTCAATGGCCGCTAATTTTCCTGGTTGCGTGGTGGCTGTGCAGTTATGGAGGCAATCACCCCAGCTGCAGAAATCTAGCTACGGGGGGACTCCACCAAAAAGGAGCTTGTGAACAAAGGACCCTCTTCCAGAGAAACCACAGCAGTACTGCTGACTCTGGGACAAACCCAGACTGAACTCCTGCTACTGCTCCTGGCAAGAGACTCAAAAGGCCTTTTAGGACGAGAAGGGAACAATTATGCTCCATTCCCAAACTCTTTTTCGTTATCCTGAACGTTCTGCACACCGTCCCGCCACAGGGACAATCAAAAAAAATACCTGTGATTTTAGTCAAACTCAGCCAGGTTACTACACTCCTCTGCTGTTACGTTCCTCTGAACTAACAGTTAGTTAAGAGTTGGTTAAGAAAAGTTCCTTTTGACTTAAAAGGAACAGAACTGAAGCAAACAAGGGGCCTTTGCAGAAGCAGGGAGGAGAGCAAACTGCTGTTAAGCTGCGAACTCTCTGATAGCGCTCACATGCGTGCACCTCTAAGCTCCTTGTCAAGAAGGGTCACAATTATATGGCACCATAAACTTACGTGACAAGCATGTGAGTGAGGCAAGGTCCCTGCAACAGGGCTGAAACCCTCTTATCCCAAGGACACCCCCAGCTCGACAGCAAAGCAAAGCAAACCCACGTCAAGACAGTCCACCGAGCGAGTTCCAAGAGGAAACCAAAATTCCCCCAAGTCTCCTCCTGAAGACAACCACAGATCCCGAGGGAAAGAGCGCTCGGGATAAGGCTTTAATCGACGTTCAGACATTCCCACCACAGCAGCACTGATTGCCCTGGCAGTCGTATCAAGACTGACAGGGGATGTGCCGAGGCTCTGGGATCGCTCCCGAGGCTCCGGGGTCCTTCCCGAGGCTGCCAGGTCCCTCCCAAGGCTCCAGGGCTTCTCCTGAGGCTCCGGGGTCCCTCCCGAGGCTCCCAGGGCTGCTCCCAGCCCCGTTCCACACCCCAGGAGCATCGACAGTTAAAAGCAGCAGCCCGGACTCCTTCACTCACCATTAGGCCGAATGTTAATGAACGGGTAGTTGGGCATCACCAGCTTGTTGAAGTTGAACTTGTAGGTAAACCTTTTGCCCTTTGTCTTGTGGAGAATCCTCTTGTTGTAATAGTATCTGTTAAGGAAAGTTCAAGAGATCGATCAAAGCACGTGGCGAGATGCTGAAAGTCTCGTTTCTTTTAGCGCCACCAACATCCATCTCTGACGTAGCTACAAAAGCGAAGTCACCCAGAGGATTTAGGTTATTAATACAAGAAAATATCAGTAAATCGGGGAGTTTCCAAACAGCACTCACTCCTTTTACAACCCGGTTCTTTAGCAGTAGGTTTCAAACCATTTTACGGGTCGTTATGTTCCTCAGAAAAGGTGAGATCCTGAAGGGAAGGGAAAGCTGAACAACAGGCCAAGCCTGTACACGCTGTTCTCACCCCTGTCCAAACTGGGACCAGTGCCATGGGCTGGGGGGGGATCTCCCCTGAGCATCCCTCCCCTATTCCCACTCGCCCCAGGGCCCCGCAGCCAGAGACACTCACTCGGCGGCTCCACCTGGGCTGCGACGGCTGCGGGGAACGTTACAGGGCCTGGAGCAGGAGGGGAAAATTCAGGGGAACCTGAAAGAGGGGAACATGCACCTGGGCGGGGGCAGAACAAGACTCATGGCACCGAAAGAGCTGAGCAAAAGGGTCCGAATTACCCAGATAGCCTCAGATTTTTTTTTTTTTATTTTTGCAATCTTCCAGGCCCAGGGTATTGTAAGAGCGTACAGGGCATCAGGTGAGCTGGTTTCTGCTGCTCCCTTGCCCGCGAGCAAGTTGTTTCCCTTCTGTTCATCCATTCGGATTAAAAACACCTGGACTGTGGAGGTGCTCAGCACCACCACCACCACTCCCCCCCTTACCTTCCCAGCCCCAAACAAAAGCAACGGAGGCAGCAGGTCTAATCCCCACCGCAGCCAACTCCCCACTTACACCACCACTGTTTGTCCTCAGCCTCTGGAGTACAAACAAAGGTGTTAGGGGCGGCTCGTCGCCGCCGTTCTCTGTATTTAAGAGGCAGATTAACAGGCGCTGCCTGTTGCCACAGCGTGCTGAACCCCGGGCAGGAGCAGGGAAGGAGCCCCAGGCCCCGAACTGAGGCAGCTGCGATACCCCCAGTGCTCCTGCCCCGTCGCTGTCACACTCAGCACCAAGATGCCAAGACATGATCAGCCTTGGCAGGTGAAGGCTATTTTTCCACTCCCATGCACCAATTACAGCCTCGGTGCCATTCAATTTATTGTTTCCTTCCTGTTCCAGTATGAGACTCTTATGTTTGCTGCCTTGTTTGTCTTTGTCAGCTCCACCCAGGAGGTATCAGAGGGCGTAAGGCAGCGAAGTCCACGTTAGAGACTGATAATACCAGAACGTGTCGGGAACCTGGCCACTCCTGCAGGTGACAGCCTCGAAATGCTGAAATACTTCAGAGGGTCACGCTAGTTTTCCACTGTCTGCCTTCAAAATACACAGTGATAACTGCAAAAAATAAACCCAACTATGCAAAAATGTAAATAAGAGGGCAAAGCTGTACTGGAGGCTGAGGAGTTGTGAAGCGAGGAACGCTCAGCTCCTGTCTCGCACAAGGGGACACTCGTGGGCAAGGGGCGTCCCTAAATTTACCCAAATTTGTGTCATCAGGGCTCAGGAAACAGCCCAGACCAGGCCCTTGCCATGGGACTGACATCAAACCTCTGCCTCACACAGATTTAGCCGTAAAGAGGGAAATACAAGTTATGTTAGAAAGGGGAGTTGCTTTCTCTGAAATGGTACCCTTGATGGTGTGATAATAGAGTAACACCTCTGGTTTCCTCCCACACCTTCATTGCTCAAGCCAGCAGCGGCGATGGAAGCTGAGAAAAAGAGACAGAAAAGCTCCCCGGAAGGAAGCCATCCTGATAATAACAACCTGAACTAGAGGTGCAAATTTACACCGTGACGCAGAACGCTGCACGGTGAACTCAGGGCTCCCTCCCCCGTCTCTGTAATCACACCCAAGCACAGTCAGACCTACCCGAGCAATGTGGCATCCCGGGACTCTAAATTTGATAGAAATCTCCCAGAAATGCAGATGCCACCGAGCCCCGGGGACTGAGTATCTACAATTCGTTCCCCAAACGAGGCGGGGAAGGACGGAAGGAGGGTTTGCTGTGAGCCCCTCACCTCCACGGTAATTTCTGCTCACCTGAGCGCCCGGCTCAGCTTGTCATAGTTCATCTGGGGTTTGCATTTTCTCCTGCCCCACAGCCGGGCCACTTCATCAGGGTCCTTGATGACAAACTCCCCGTACTCGCCCTGCTGCCAGGCGATGACATGGCGGAACTCCTCCTTCTGCAGCAGCTCCAGGATGAAATGCCATAACTGGATCTGTCGGGAGCCAGGGCTGGACTCGGTCTTGTAAGCCCACTCTGGGAAATGATAACCTTGGAAAGGACCAAAAAGGAGGTTAAAAAAAAAAAATCTGAAATCACCCAGACAGCAACAGGAGCTCACAACTGTCAAGCTCTACTGAGTATTTATCGTTTTTTTTTTTCCCCCAGAGCAAGACCACAGAGCATCGCTGGGGGCTGTAACTCTGTTAAACATTCAGCGTGGAAGCAGAGAAACCCAGCTCTCCTCCTCTAGCTGCTCATTTTCTTACTCCTTTTAGCCCCCTCTCCTTGGAGAATCCCCAACCACCACAACACGGTAAAACTGAAAGGGACGTAAGCGTGAGCAGCAGCAGAAAGGAGCCCAAAAGCTTAAGACCGCGCTACAATTTGGGCTCCAGGTGGCTGAAACGAGGCAGCTAATCCAGATCGGAGCATTTGGTGTGCTGATGTTGAGGGGGGGGGGGG